ATGTGGCCAGACTACTGAGTGGTATAAAGAAATATCAACATATTTCCCATATTTTGGCCACCCTGCATTGGTTACCTGTTTGTTTTCATGTGAGCTTCAAGGTGAGGGTAACCTTATGAACAGTGAACAAAGACCAAATATTCCTGACCAGAGTACTAGACAATACATCATACTAGAACCATGTGTGGGTCATGGAGCCAATAGTGAGTTGTGAAGGACTTGCCTAGCCTACCATTCCTGCATCTGATGTAGGCATACAGCCTCATCATCCCAAGACCTGCCTAGATACAGTGGCAAAATAAAGAGCTGAACACAAATAGTATGCTCACGCCGGGGAGGAGTCCTGTAGGGAGTCCCCTGAGGAGGCGTGCCTTTGCCAGCCTCCCGGAGGCCACGCAAGACTACAAGGCTGCCCAGAGAGTAGTCGAGGGGCCCAGAGGCCGCGCAAGACTACAAGGCTGCAGTCGAGGGACGTAGGGACAAGTGGGGCGTATTTAAAGGGGAGCATCCCTGGGTGTTAAATTTGACGGCTGCAGGGCGGTTGGCAGCAAGGACGGCTTCCCTCTGACGAAGTACCAGTTTTCAGCCACTATATAACGCAGCCACTATATAACATGTAGGCAGGAGGCCTACTGTGTCTATGTCTTACAGGCGCTTCGTGGGTACCAAGGAGGAGACACATCATCATGGTGGGCCACAGTTTTGTGTTTTGGGCTGAGAGAGACGCTGCCACATCCCCATGGGGGATCAAACTGGGCCTCGATGGCCGAGCCCACGTGGATTGGAGAGGGTGCTGCACCCATGGGGGATCAAACTGGGCCTCGATGGGCGAGCCCATGTGGATTGGAGAGGGCGCCGCAGCATGCTGTGGAGTCAGCTTTGTCGAGTGGTGGCCTTTGGCCTGACATCCGCCAGACGTGTTGGTGATATACCTGGGCGGCAGCGATTTGGCTCGGTACCCGGAGAGGTCCCTGGTAGTTGATGTGATCCGCGATCTCATTTGGCTGAGAAGCACGTACCTGGAGATGCAGATTATATGGTCGGCAATTATCCCTCGACAGTTTTGGAAAGGGGCGAGGCAGTGTTGGCCCGTAAACACTGACCAACGGAGTGTCAACCGGGAAGTCTGCAGAGCAGTCCGTGGCAGCCCATCCCTCGCCAGTTTTGGAAAGGGGCGAGGCAATGTTGGCCCGTAAACACTGCCCAACGGAGTGTCAACCAGGAAGTCTGCAGAGCAGTCCGTGGCAGCTTGGGATTGGTGGTTGGGCATCACAGGATTTGGCTCGATATGCCAGAATTCTTCAGCTGGACGGCGGGCACCTGTCGGACCGAGGCTTGGACATCTATTTGGAGGACATTAAGGGGGGCCTGCTTTTGGAGCTGGAGCGGCTTGAGGGGGAGCATGGGACATAGTGTGGCTAGTTCCATTGCTGTGGCGGGTAGTGCGGATTCAAAAGGCATTGGAGCTCAGAATATATGGTAATGGCTCGAAATTGTAGCATATCTGAACTCGCAGCACTGCCGATCAGGCGACCTCAGCATGAGGAAGGGAAAGATGCGCTGGGGACACACCTGGACCCATGGTCAGCACAGAGAGAAGGAAAGAGGGTCCGGGGAAATTGGAGGCCGATAGTTTTCCCATGGTAATAAAGAAGGGGATGACTGAGGCCATAGCACAGCCCGCTGGCTGTTCAATGATCAAGAGGTAATTTGAATCCACACTATAGCAGGACCCCCCTGTTGGCCAAAGGATGGCAAAGGTCAGGAGAATAGAATGGAAAGGACTTTAATAAAGCGTGGCCCATGTTTAACCCATACACTTGGTCTCACGTGGTTATTCCACTGTAGGATAGCAATAAGTTAGAGAAAACAGTATATAAATTGTGTATATGGTTTTCCTTCAAAATTCTAGAAGGGGATAAAAATGTGAAATACTGGAGGAATATGGTCAGTTGTCAAAAATATTCTGATCTAGGGGCAGGCAAGGTAAATTCTTCCACCAGATCTAATCCACCAGATTTCCCAGATTTGCCCTTGTTGCATTTTGATAACCATCTGCTTACTCCAATAGGACCATTATGTAACTATTCAAAGGGGAAAAATAATAGTGAGGCTTTCATATCAAGGGCAACAGCACAGTACTGAATACCGCGTGCCATAGGCAAGAAACAAACTTGCCTATGCCTTGTTGATACACTTTACAGAATTAGCTGGTTCATCAGCCTACTGTCGGAAGTCAGATGCTGGACTAGAAACAACTTGCTGTGCTCCAGTGAAGCAGTTCCTACACTGCCATGAAAACTCATGTCAGGTAATATTTGTTAGTCTTTCAGATGACTCCATCCATATTTTTTGTATGTGGGAAATGGGTAATGGGTAAACAGTGCATAGCAAAAGATGTGGCTTACAGTTAAGCTGCCTGCTTCCAATTATTTGCCTGATATGCAAGTCCAGTTCATTGACCTATGGATTCAGAAATTGTCCTGTCATGCTTAGGCATCCTTGCTGCTGCTTGAAAAAGCAAAGCTTACTTCTTCAGGACCAACAAAGTGTTCAGACTGAAATGCATTATGTATATGTTCATTTTCCTATATCTGAATCTCATCTGTTGTGTAGAGGGAGCTGGTCTGGCAATTCTCTTTCTCTTTTCCGCCTGGGATTCTCAATTTAAGAATGCAATCCTATAAATATTTCTTTGAGAGTAAATCCTAGTTCCTTTGCTTTTGGAAGCAAACAGTGAATGTGCCATTTCATTCCTCTGAAATATCACTATTTTCTTTGGTTGGGACCCTTCACTGTGCAGAAGCAGAATGCAGCACACTTTGAACAGCATCTGCAGCATTCATAAACAGAGTAGCCACCTTTGCCCCACCAGAACAGCTTTGCACTTGGTCAACGGCAGTCATACCACCAACCTCGCAGTTTGGCAAGTCCATTCCTCTTAACAGGGGATCCTCTAAATTCCACCTTTTGATGTATGAGAGCCCAAAACTCCCCCAAAAGGAGAATGAAGAGTCAAGGTTCTGGGCAGGAACAGATTATTTGATTCCTTTACGATTAGGCTAGAGCAGTGGTTCCCAATCTTGGGTCCCCAGATACTCTTGGACTGCAATCCCAGAAATTCTGGCCCAAAAGGAGAATGAAGAGTCAAGGTTCTGGATAGGAACAGATTATTTGATTCCTTAACAATTAGGCTAGAGCAGTGGTTCCCAATCCTGGATTCTCTTGGACTGCAACCCCAGAAATTCTGGCCAGCACAGCATGTGGTGTGGGCTTCCAGGAGTTTTAGTCTAAGAACATCTGGAGACCCAAGGTTGGGAACAACTGGGCTAGAGGATTCTTTATGTAGATAAATGGATCTGCTAAGACATAGCATGCAGAGCATTACATTAAGATAGTTGCATCCTATGGAGGGAATGCAGTACAAGCTATCCTGGCTTCTTATGAAATGATGGCAACGCTTATTTGT